ACTTTTATTGAGCATAATGTTGGTGATAATAAAGCATTTCTGCAGTACAAGAAGGTCGTCATGCAGTTTTTGACTGTAGTTATATTTTGATCAGCAATGTTTCACTGCATATATTGTCTAATCAGTAGCATATTCATTAAACGGAAACCTTAAAAATTAAACCGTACAAATTTGGAATGAAAATGCCCAGGAACGTTGTTTCAACCAAACTAAGGAGCTGTACACAAAAACTGAACGAAATTATCAACTATGAAACACTGAGTACTTTAAAAAGGCACAAATTTATGAATAGACCGACAAGTTATATGGGTTATGTTCTATGGGTGACATGTCCTTAAATTGTACTACTCTATATCCCTGTTATCGTGGACATTTCTCACAGATTCAATGTAGTACCTACGCTACAAATTCAATCATTGGGTGACAATTTAGAACTGATAAAGCTCGATCCACATATTGACCATTAGGTGTGCTTAGTATTGGTTAGTTTTCGTTAGTTAGCCGAAGACCATAACAAAAAAAAAATTCAGAATTCCTAAAACTCACATTTTCTATACTTATATGCAAAAATATATCATTTTCATTTCATCAAAATTATTTGTACAGCTGGCAACATCGACCGAAACTTTTGAATATTCTATGGTAATGTCTGAAACAATGATTGTTTGCTGTGTTGATTGCAATGTATTTCCTTCCAAAAGTCATTTAATATTTTGTGGTGTTTTATCAACACTTAATATTATAAGCACGTTAAACTGCTGATTAAAAATTACTGCAGAATAATTGAAAAAGTGCGATTAAATGCACAATTTTTTTATCGTTAATTACTATTTCCAAGGTAATAAAAAATTTTGAACACTTCGCTATATCAACTTAATTGTTATACTAATTGATAATGATAAAAACAAGACTTTCCAAAGACGGAATTTTTTATAATATCTTGATTTATGATTTTCATTTATTAAATTAAGTTTCATTCCCTCAGATCGTAAACTGGGCTTTATCAGTAAGTAAATACATGTATTATAGAGTTTAAAATTGGGATGCCTAGGGCAGAGCTGTTGCAGAATTGACGGTTTATTAAGAGATATTCAGTATCAGTTTGTCCCATCCTCTACTATTCTTAATCAATCGTCAGAGGGCAACCAGTCCTACAAGAGCTAGTTATTGAAAACACCATATAATAGAGGAAAGTCGCCTGATATGAAAATAGTTTCTAATATGGGGTAGGACGTTTTCTACGCAAAGTGCTATGCTTGCCATCTTTTGCCCACAGGATGTACTAACACCAACTTCGTGTTGGTTTTCTGTTCAGATTTTGATATAGAAATATTCACCGTTTTGACACCAGTGGCGCCAAAACTTTTATTTGCATGTGAAATTTACAAATTTAAAGATAAGTTTTCTATAGTAAGTTCGACGCATTTGATGATAAATTGTAAGTAGTTTATGGAAGTCTATGCGGTTTTTGGATAATCCCAGAGCAGCTTTGGCAAATAAATTTAGAGTCCTTTGAAAAAAGTATCCCATATTAGGTGATTTTACTCTAGGTGTAAAATAAGAAAGTTCACGCATCCCACGGCATCTAAAAACGCCACGAAATAAAAAGGGCGTTGCTTTTACGACCTACTTTGGCGTACCGGATATCTCACATAATAGTTATCGAGAAATTTTGAATACAAAAGTTGTTTGCATTATTATTCACTGTCAAATTATACATTGTGTCCCAGTTCTTCAGTATCGATGACGGCATTTGAGTTTTTTATACTGCTATTAGCCAAGACTACCAGGATCAGTTTCCATAAGATTTTTAAGGTTATTCTTCTTCTTCTTCTTCTTGTGTCTTTTTAAGGTTATGTGATTTGTTATTGAAAGATATTATTTAGAAAAAGATATATTAGACATTATGAAGAAGGATATTAAGAACTGACGATGAACTGTTGTTAATTAGTTGGCCTTTAAATCTTTCTAGATGTAAAATAAAATGTTTTCTACAATTATTTATAGTAAAAATGTTTGTTTATGTGTATGATATTACTATAGTTTTTTTGTTTATTAAATAGAATGCACATAAAAATGAGAGAAATAATTTAAAAAACAACTATTATGGAAGATGCCGTATGCGCGTTCTACTAAATGTATAATATACACCATTAACCATGTACCATTAAGAATAAAGAGATCTTGAATCCGGGCATCTTGTATAATCCAAAAGTGATAAAATCCAAATCCTTAATTCTTAAATACTAAAACTTTTGTATTAAAAATGTTTCGATAATTATTACAGGTGTTGAGAAAAGTGTTTGCGAGGCACCTTCGCACACATGCATAATTGTATTACCATGGAATGCGTACCTAATGCACGTCCGTTAAAAAATACAAACTGTACAGGGTGGCCCTTTTATGAGGCACTACTACCTTATCTCGATAACCGGAAGAGACTGAATAAAAAGCTTAATACAAAAGGTGCTTGGGTTAACTTGAACCTTTCATTGATTATATTTTCTTGTATACAGGGTGGTTCCTAACGTGGCCGTGGCCACTGCCAACTTTTTCATTTCAAATGGAATTTCGATTTGAAATGACAATTAAACAAATTATATATATATACATATATATATATATATATATATATATATATATATATATATATATATATATATATATATATATATATATATATATATATATATATATATATATATATACAGTGTGTCCAAGATAAGGATGCACAGCATGGGGATCTCGGAAACTATAAGAGATACAGTGTCGGTTAAATTAGACAAAAGTTGCGCATTTTGATACCGAACAAGATCCCGTTTTACAAATTTGAAAATTCCAAGCCGTTCCGGAAATATCCGAGAAAAACCGAAATATTGCGATTTCGTTTTTATTATTTTTTAAAGCTATTTGAAAAGATATGAAAAAACGGAAAACACTTTTCCATTGGCACTTTTTAATCTCTCCAAATTGACGTTAACAAATTTTCATTACAGCGTTTCGATTCCATGGAACCACCATCAACTTTGATTTTTCTTATGGGACGGAAAAAAAGTACACACAGTATTAGGTTGTGCTTTTCATTGCGAATTCAACGATGTACGATACAATACGGTTACTTATGTTTTTATCCAGAAAAATGGATTTTTAATACATTTCAGCATTTAAATGGAGTAGGCCATGACAAAATGACATCCAGTCAATTTCAATGACACATTAATGTTATTTGTCTTTGTTATCAGTCGATCATAAGTTTATTCCTTTAGTTATTGTTTTTGTATTTTTATTGTTGTTGTCTTTTTCTAATTTATTTTGTTCTACAATGGAGGGAGGTAATTTTACAAACGAAGAAAAATGTGATATGCTGTCTTGCTACATCTGATGCCAAAGAAATTGTGTGGAAGCCGAGCGTATGTATTCTAACAAATACCCAGAGCGGAGACAACCTGACAAGAGTATTTTTCGGCGTTTGTTATTTAATCTGAAAGAATATGGATCATTTAAGAAGCCTGCATTATCCCGATAAAAACCTTCCATTGAAGAAAACCAATACATTGTTCTACAATCTGTTATCGAAAATCCACAAACTTCTACCAGAGAAATTGAAGACCAGAATGGGGTAGCTAAATCTACAGCTCAGTTTATTTTAAGGAAAAATGAATTTAAGCCTTACAAATTCAGAATATGTCAAGGATTAAAACCGGGTGACGACGAACGACGTAGACATTTTTGTGAGTGGTATACCAGGATGTGTGATGAGAGTTTTAATTTTCCATATAAAGTGATTTGGTCTGATGAAAGTATGGTGACCAATAACGGTATTTATAACAGGCGCAATACACACTATTGGTCGCAACAAAATCCACGTGTTAATAGACTATCCAGACATCAAGTTCGCTTTGGGTTTAATATTTGGTGTGGGATTTTTGGTAGCAAGATTATAGGCCCTATTTTCTATAATAATTCCTTAACTTCCGAGCGGTACCTTGACATCTTGAGGCACGATTTAGAAGATGCCTTAGATGATTTACCGCTAGGTGCTGTGCAAGGCTGCTGGTTCCAACAAGATGGTGCCCCAGCCCATAACTCCCGAGAAGTTCGCCAATATTTAACTGAACGGTTTGATGGAAAATACATTGGGACTTACAGTGAAACACCTTGGCCTCCAAGGTCCCCGGACTTAACTCCCTTGGACTTTTTCTTATGGGGCTACATAAAAAATGAGGTATTCAAAGAATGTTTTGACAACGAGGAACAATTACGTCAATCAGTACGAGCAGCGTTTAATAAAATTACTCCTGAAATGTTAAGTCGTGTTTTGGAGTCTACCGTGAGACTGGCGTACTTATGCCTAGAAAATGGAGGTCATTTATTCGAACATTTGTTATAGAATTTGTTTTTCATTAACTTGTTGGATTTAGTTGTTATGTTAAATGAACAGTTAGAGTTAGTAAATAAATAAACACATTAACTCGAACTTGTCAACCATTTTCTTTTGCCTTTCATCGTTCGGATCTCATGGCCTACTACAATAAAATACTAGAAATGTATTAAAAAGCCATTTTTCTGGATAAAAACATAAGTAACCGTATTGTATCGTACATCGTTGAATTCGCAATGAAAAGCACAACCTAATACTGTGTGTACTTTTTTTCCGTCCCATCAGAAAAATCAAAGTTGATGGTGGTTCCATGGAATCGAAACGCTGTAATGAAAATTTGTTAACGTCAATTTGGAGAGATTAAAAAGTGCCAATGGAAAAGTGTTTTCCGTTTTTTCATATCTTTTCAAATAGCTTTAAAAAATAATAAAAACGAAATCGCAATATTTCGGTTTTTCTCGGATATTTCCGGAACGGCTTGGAATTTTCAAATTTGTAAAACGGGATCTTGTTCGGTATCAAAATGCGCAACTTTTGTCTAATTTAACCGACACTGTATCTCTTATAGTTTCCGAGATCCCCATGCTGTGCATCCTTATCTTGGACACACTGTATATATATATATATATATATATATATAGCAAAGAGCAAATAAAATAATATTGAAGAAGATTTAAAACAGGCAGTGTCAATCGTCTGATCCGTTGACTTAAATTTTGACATCTCTTTTTTTTTATTAGAGAAAATGAACATTTTAGAATGTCATTCATTGAGTAATAAATATAAAGTTATAGCAGCTAAAAAAACATTTAAAAAAATCTACCGTCAGTTTGGGATCTCAATATTAAGTTTCCATGAAGATGTTTTTGACATTATTGATACTGAAGAATCTAAATTAAATACTTCAGCTTGACAAAACACTCATTACTCGCCCAGAAAACAGGCGATTGAAATTAACGAGTCGGGTAGAATTTAAAATAAAATTGCAGGCCCAACAGCTTTTTAGGGTATAATTTAAATTCTCAGAACGATATTGAACCTGTGATGATTCGATACCATTAGCCATACTAAGTCATAGAAAACTATTTAATTACACGGTATAGCGAATGGATTGGTTAACACGGTGATTATGCTTGGCCCCCAAGGAGCACAGACCAAACTCCATCGAAATTTTTGAGGTATTCTTAGGGCTAAATACATGAAGGCAGATGGTATTTAAATGAAGCTGAGTTTCTTCGAGGCAATACTTCATTTAGATACGGCATACCCAAAATGGAGGCCATACAGAACATCTGAAATCTTATTCTTGATGTGCCATAGCTGTTTCATGTTGGCTATCAATACTTATTAATAAAATACGTCATCAAATTTTTTGATTAAATGAAAATGTGCTATGTAAATTATGTAGAAAATAAGTAAAATAATGGGAAAGCTGATGAAGCGCGCAGTATGGAAACACTGTAGGATTTTTTTCCATTTAACAATGCAAGTGTCGCAAAATAAATAAACTAGAAGAGTACGCGCAAAGAGAAATTAAAACAAGACTGAAATACCTCGCATAAGTGATGAAGATGAACATCAACAACTCCGAAGCGTTGGGTTTGAACTTCTCTTTCAAAGGCCTACCTAAATAATTATTAATATACAGGGTGTTCAATCCGAAATCAAAAAGTTGATAGCGGCCACGGCGAAATGTATACACGAAAGTAAAATAAATGAATAGTCCAAGCAAATTTTGCTTCAGTCTCTTTCTGAGATTAGGTAGTATACGGAACATCGAAAAACGATAGCTATCGAGACGTCGAAGAAATCACAATCACATTTATTCATTGTTATATCGTTTCTTCATTGTTATTTATACTTTTAGTTTACACTATATTACATGTTTATTTATGTACACTAGCGCGACTGGAAGAGATTTTTTGCAGTTAATTGTCACGCCACAACTTTATCGGGTTTAGTTTGTGCGTGTTTGTAAGTGATGTTAAAGATAAATAATCGAACAGGGTTAAATACAAAGTGTTTGGCCCCTAATTATATATTTTATTTATAGAATTTTTATGCATATGAGGTGTTCCGTGGTACCAGGACAGTAACCAACTTCATTTTTTTAAATGGAATGCTACGGAAATGTTTTGTTATTTAATTTTGTATCTTTTCTATTAAGTATGCATCTATTGTGTGGCAACACTGTCAGTGGATCGGTACGACGGTGTTTGTTCCGTAACTGGACATTAAACTAAACACTAAGTACTTATATACGTAATGCAAGTAAATAGAACATATTACTAATTGCAAAACCCCCCTAAACACGTAGGGTACACATTTTTAGGGTTTAAGATCTTCATGAATGTTAAATAAGAAATGATAAGGGTTTAGCGTTAGCCTTGACAGAATTATGGGTTGTTGTATCCTGTTTTGCCTATGACACGTATTTTTTCACGAATTGACCTGCAGTGGTAGTCAATAATTGAAAATATCGCCCAAAAATTATCCTAAGAGAGGAGAAACAACTATAAGTTCTTTTGTATTTTGAAGACTGAGATAGACCATACCATCAAATCGGTGCCAGTTCAGAAATCATGTAAAAGAGATTGGTTGATTGATATGGTATTATACGTTATCCAGTAATATGCTTAGTATTTTATGACTGAGTTCTGAGTGGTGAGAGATATTTAAATTTGTTCGAGATTTTGGATTGGTCGGTACGGGACCATGGATTGGCCAGCGAGGAGCCCTGACTTGACACCACGGGACTTTTTTTTATAAAAAACGAAATGTATAAAAATAGGTGTAATAAATAATGTTCAGGACACTGGGTTAGAAAACGGTTTGTAAGTAGAAATAAGTTCTGTTTACTCGCGTTACATGTTGATTTTATATCGAATTTAAGTAACTACTGTTTAAAAAAAAAAGAATAGAATAGAACAAAAGCTGAAAAGGTACCAAACGCAGAACCTTACGTATTCTACCTAATGACAAAAAATATACATAAAAACATTATAAATAATATATATACTTAGAGCCAAACACTTTTTGAACTTAACTTTTTTACTCGTTGGACCATGGAATGTTTTTTTTTAACTAAAAGTTTCAAACACGAGTAAAAACTGTGTAAAACACTACTAATTGACTTCGCCCGTCAGAAAAAGCAATGTGATTTACGCCGTTAAACCCAGTCGATGTATCTTGGCAGAAAGGAAGTTGTGCAGGATAAACACTATGGGTTTCGGGCAACCTTCCATGTCCAGTTCCTGGAAACAATGAGGTAGCGATCATTACAGACTCCGAGAACGATGTGTTGGTGCGGCTTACCAATTCACCTTCATCACCGGAACCGAAATCTAACCACAAAAACCGCTTGCCGTCGTCGGAAGAGTTTCTGAGTCTCTCGAAAGAGTACCTCCACAATGTCCTGGAGCCCGTGCCCCCTTCGAGAAGGGTAAAGCCGTTTTCGTAGTGGATCACCAACTGAGCGGGCCGTCCTTTCCACACGCACCCTGGAAACGATATAACGTTCGCAAAAAACTTCGCCCAATCTAACCAAAACATAAAATATTTGACTATTTTTTGTTACTTATATAGTGTCCAAAATCCTTACTTTGTCACGAAAAAATTTGCAAAATTTAAAGCTCATGATAGCTTGGATACAACAGGACAACATTGAAAATCGAAATATTTTTGTCAAATTCGCGGTATTGTCGTGTATTATCACCTTTTCAAATCTGCGATGCACCGTTTTCAGTTTACTGACGATTCGTATCAATTAATAACTAATATTAATTCCGAAAACGTCTCTAATTTTTTTTTAATGAAATTGCTGTATTGATAACGATTTATTTAAAATACTATAAAAATTTTATAATTTAATATACAGGAAGGAAGAAGGAAGAAAGAAGAATAGCCAAAACCTCATACCGGAACAAGTATCGAGAGCTGAGGAACAACAGCGACAAGATCTACGCAACCTACATAAAACGATTAAGGAATTTACTGGCACGAGCAGAAAACAAAAGTCATACCTCCTTATAGACAATAACGGAAACATTGTAGTAGATATCGAGAGACACTTGCTCGATGATTAGAGAGTAGAGATACAAGCTATTACTGACGAACAAACGGGGCCTACGATTCTGAAAGAAGAGTTAGAACGGGCAATAGAGACAACCAATAGATACTAACCAAAACTGTCCCCTGAGGAACACCATGTTCTACAGTTATGTAATTTTTATATTTCGTTTTTTGTACCCTATGTGTTAAATACTAACAAAGCCATTTATACGCTGTTCCCTTAATACCCATCTTGCACAATTTTCTTAACAATCTAGTTCTACTTATTGTTTCGAAAGCACGCTTAAAATCCAAAAATACAGTCAACACAAATTTACCGTCCTTCAAGGCCTCACCATAGACAGTAACGACAGATTTACATGAGTGTTTGGAATGAAAGCCCGACTGGTTAGGCACTAAAATATTGTTTACTTCACAATAACTTTGCAGCTGCTGTTTCACCACAACCTCAAGAACCTTCTCATAAACTGGAACGGTATTAATTGGCCTAAATTGTCGACATAAATTGGTGTTGGAAAGCTTTTGTACAGGGATAACCATTGATGTTTTCCATGCCTCTGGAAAAATTCCACTCGTAAGGGAGGTGTTCACAACGTCCAACAGTCGATTTCCTTAAGATGCCACACTCATCACCAGTCACATTTATTAATTTTCTTAATATTATTTTTAGGTCCTGCATAGTTATGGTATTAAACTGGATGGCGGAATGCCACTCAAAATATTTTTAAGACTGTCTATAAAATGCCTATGAAATTCAGTAGCTATGACTTGCTTAAATGAAACAGCTCGCTGGCCAAACTGCAACTCATCGGGAAGAATACCTTTGTTATTTGGAAGTAGCGTTTTTAAATTATTCCACATTTCTTTAGAGTTTGTTTTATTTCTATTAATAATATCTTTAAAATATCTCTCTTTTTTGTATGCACGCCATGTAACGAGGATGGCTAGAATCGACCTTTGTTACAATACCCAAAAAGGCAAAGGCAATAAGCTTAATGAGTCACACAATAAAAGTATTCTTATACACCGCAGAGTATTTCAGAAACTCGAAGATAACATCTCGGATACCCAGTTCGGTTTTAGAAACGAATACAGTACTCGGGACTCATTATAATAATATCCTCATACAACGCTGTCTCGGTGTCAATCAGGACACAGTCATACATAACAGCTCAAATCACCCTTGTGGAAAAAGTTTTAAAACATTTGTCAAAATGTGGTTTAAAAATAGCTTTCAGAACTAACAACAAAATAGGAAAATTTTTAAAAAACATAATTATACAGATTTACGTACTTTCTAGTCCCACTTCGATTCTTTGAAGTTGGAAATTGATATTATTTAATTTAATGGAAATATTTAATCAAATTAAATAAAAAAATAATTAAACCATACATTTAGTAAATTAAATTACATATATTTCTTTATTTAAATTTTAATAAGTAATTTAATAAAATAATTAAATATTAATTAGCTATTAGGGAATAAAATTAAAGTGGCAGGAACGTTTTCGATTCAGTTTTGCTCGCTCGTTTAGCGCATCCGTAGAAACCGACAAATAGAGAAACGGATCGTATATATTAAAAAGACAAAATTCGACAATCTGGACCGCATCGAACGACAAAATTGTCGTCTTGTTTCAAAGTTCTAATTGGGATAGTTGGTAGTTTGCTTAGCCTCGCTTGTACGCCGATCGTCTTGATTGGGAAAGTTTCCAGACTTTGCCGGGTGTCAAATATATCCTACGCGTATTGAAAATTAATTTCTTTATTAATGTTTCGGAAACCGTTTAAATTCGCTGTCACGCAGATAAAAATAATTATTTTATATTATATTATACTTTATAATTAATTTTCATTTTAAATTTTTCATGTAGACGAAGGTCTAGTAAAAATATACCGGCATGACCAATAGGTGGCGCCACTACGTGTACTTTTGGAGAGGCGTTCTCTGTAGAACCATTCCTACTGGATTCAACATTAGGAGACTCTTCCCCATCATATTCAACTATAAAGCAGTGGGTTCCTGCACCTCTGACGAGCCTCGCCCAAGGTTGAGGTCACAACTTCAAAAATGATTGAGGAAACCCACCAAATTGTGTTGAAAGACCGCAGGTTGAAAGGACATGAGATAGCCGAGACCTGTAGAATGATGCGAATTTTTGCGTGCAACCTCCCTACTCTCCAGACTTAGCCCCCAGCGACTGTTACCTGTTCCATAACCTCAAAATAGGCTTGGCGGTAAAAAAATTAAGAGCAACGAAGAAGTTATCGTAGCTGCAAATCAGTATTTTGAGGAGCTTACCAATTAGAATAATGTTATGAGAAATGTAACAGTGTTGATAGAGATTATGTTGAAAACATCGCTTTAACCTTTTTTGACAAATTTAGAAGTTCATGTCAAACAAGACATTCGACATTTTTTCCTATAAGAGAGCCTTATTTATTTAACTTTAATAAAGCTGTTAACAATTGTTATTGCTTGTTATTAGCAAAATAGGCATTCCAACGACCTGAAAAATTAAATTCAGCATTGTGTCCCAGGGCAAATAAACAAATAACGTTTGTTAATAAGTAAAACTGTCTTCAGCAAATGATTCTATATGGTGTCTATTGAAACTATAAAAGCATTTTAGTTTTTGGTCTTGCCTTTTCTAGCTCTTGGTAGATATTGTAAAAAACATTTGTCTTTGTTAGTGTTGTGTAAACTAACCAAAACTATTGTTTTACAAAAAAAAAATATTTTTGAAGTTCTGTTTTGAGTCAGAACATTGGTTGCTTATTCTAGTGGTAATTAACATTACCATACTTAAAAGTGTAAAAATCGGGATTATTTTTGAAAAATGTGATTAGACATTTAGCTAATCAGGACCGTTTTCGAAAAATTTAACATTTTTCGGGTTTTTTCGGATATATAATATAATAATTGTTATTTGTTAGTCAAATTAATATAATTCACTTGCGACATCTATAATCCAAGAGAACGTAAAAAAGAAACATTCATCAGGTGTAGGACGTTATACATGACAATAGATCTAAAAAAATCCTAGGGAAACCAAAAACAGCAGTAATATAAGATATATTTTCTTAAATATCAATCATTATCATAGTACATTTATCGAGTTCTCGTAAAAATGCTTCATAAGGTCCGAGATATTTGGAAATACTTCAAAAAACTATAACTAAAACTAACAGACTAAATATTCTCCAAAGTTCTCTACTTCTGGAAGAATACTTCATTTATGTAATAAAACCCTGGATAACCTTATAATAAATCTGTAAGTTTTATCTGTAAACTGTCATAAATAATTGCATACTAAATGTCTAACTTTCTTTTATTGCTTTTTAAGAGAGGGTACTATGTGAAAAAACAAAAATCAAAACATCATGATGAAACTGAACCATTTGTCTCCATCGTTCGTAGAATTTGATTTAAACCAGCCTTATTTCAGACACCCTGTACAGTTCTCATTATCATCAAGAGTAATTATTTGTTTTTGACGTTCTGTGTATTATGTATTTGCTTGGCGATGTTTTATTTTTATATTTTTATATGACGCAAATTTAATATTGAAAAAAGAACACTTGCATCTCCATTTGTCTCATGGTTTTTTACATTTTTAAGCAGGACCCAATGGAACCTCTAGAATTGCGAGATTAAAAATATATTCTCGGCGCTGGGTGTCTTCAAATTACCCTAAACATTATCTAAAAATGCCAAAAAAAAGTTGAAGAAGAAGTGAAGAACAAGGTGAACAGTGAAATAAAGGCAAAAATTTGATTTGCGAAAGTTCCCAAAACGTATAATTGACCATATACGTACTGCACACCAACTCCTTCTGCGTCACAGCACTCGCGTGGCTCCCGTTTACCAGCGATTTCGCCCAGATCGCCAAGTCCCTGTGGGTTTCCGCCCTCAAGTTGTGGGTGACCACGCCATCTGACGTCGCGCACCTGAAATCAAATCGGAATTTGATCCGGATGCACTCGGATCTTTGTTCGGTGTTACAGGTGGACCAGAATTATAATGTTTTTACAACCGACCCCGTGATTACCTTTGCCTACTATTTATTACTCTAAAACCGCAGACCCTTACCCATTCCAGGACCGTCCTAGGAATGTATCTATGTATGATTTCAATCTTTTTCGTCCAGCAATTCTTGACACGTGTACATAAAAAATTAGGACGAAGTAACAAAATTTATTACGTTCTATTTCATTACATTTCTACATAGTTTTACAATTAATATAAAAAATATTAAATATATAAAACTATTAAAAAATGGTTATCCGTTACTGTCGTCACCTAGTTCAATGATCAACTCCGCTACTAATTATTCTCGATAAATATTTTCTTCTTTTATTACTCGTTTTTCATAATCAGACCAGCTTTGTACTGATATCTGATACTGATACTAATAGTATCATTAAATTTCGGTGCAGTGTTAAATATACAATGATACGGGGGTAATCTCAAGATTTCATGTCCGTTTTGTTGTGCGATCGAATCGATTTTCTAGTCTTTATTAAAATTAATAATTTTTTGTTTATCTCTCTTCATACAGAAATTTTTAAATTTCTTCGCTATTTAAAGAATTATTTGGAATTTTTCTAATTTGGGCTGAATGATACGAGGCATTATCCAATACAATAACAGTATTACATGTGGCATACATGTGTTTTATTGATTTGGAAAAAGCGTTCGATCGAGTGCGATTAAGAGACGTTTTACACCTCCTTTACAACAGACAAACTCCACACAACCTCATCAAAACGATAGTAAATATATATGAAGCAAACCAGATCGAAGCAAAAATAAATGGGATCCTGACTGAACCAATAGCAGTGGGCCGAGGTATCCGACAGGGAGACTCCCTGAGTCCCCTTCTCTTCAACATTATCATGGACGAAGTAATAAGAAATGTACGATTACTGAGAGCATACAGAATGGGCGACCATGAAATCAATATTCTGTGCTACGCTGATGACGCCGTACTGGTGGCTGAAAGTGAAGACGATCTGCAACGACTATTACATCGATTTAACTGCACTGCCAAATCACTTAATATGATAATATCGGCCCAAAAAACTAAATGCATGACAACATCAAAAACACCATTAAGATGCAAATTAGAAGTTAAAGGCAAAATCATCCAGCAGGTAATGAAATTTAAATATTTGGGCATAGAAATCTCGGGTTATGGTGATGTGGAGGCAGAGGTCAGAGAGCAAACAACAAGGGCAACAAGAATAGCAGGATGCTTAAGCGACACAATTTGGCGAAATAAAAACATTAAAATCGAAACCAAATCGAGAATTTATAAGGCAATAGTAAGACCAACCATGACATACACCGCAGAAACCCGACCACACACAGCGAAAACTAAACAATTACTAGAGACAACCGAAATGAGGATACTTCGTAGAATAACTGGAAAAACGCTCTTGGACAGAGAGAGGAGCGAAAATATAAGACGAACATGCAGGGTGGAAAACGTTAATGCGTGGGTATTGCGTAGAAAGAAAGAATGGAACGAGCATATTAGTAGAATGGACAACAGAAGAATAGTCAGAATTGGACGCGACAAATCACCATTGGGTCGCAGGAGCTTAGGTCGCCCCCGAAAACGATGGAGTGACAACCTGGCAGTGGGATAGGCAGAGACGACGAAAATGAACAGGCAATTTGCCTAGACTAAAGTAGGAAGAAGAAGAAGAAGAATAACAGTATTTCAAACTAGTGCTGAAATATTTCCGCACTCATGTTTTCATGGTAATCAATAATTGAATGTTTGACGTTTTTGGCAGACAAAAATAAGGCATCTTCCACCCAACCATTTTTGGCCCCAGAATGAAGAATTAGTATGCGTTTTCCTTGTTACTGTTTCACACCATCCTTTTTCTACTGTGTCATGAGTTTCAAAGCACGTTTCGTCTAAATACACATTTTGCTCTCGAAATTTTCCAATTGCATTTAAATAATCCACTCTCCGTTGCGAAATTCTTCGAGATTCCATTAGCACTTGACGTTTTTTAATTGTTTGGAAGTGAAAATCCATTTTCTTCAAAAAACTGCGCAACGACACTTTGGCACAACTAATGTTTAAGTCTGTCGGTACTTTTTTAGGCAGTTCTCTTATGGTTACAAGACTCTTCACTTTATAAGCGTCGTAGATTATACGCCTAATTAGATCTGCATGATGATTTGTTTAGCAAATGGATCCGTTTCTTTATTTGCTGAAATAGTTCGTCTTTTAAATTACCATTTGGTTCAACTACTATCTCCACTTCGTCTGCGTTGTTTTCCATGTCTTTTTCTGGCAGGGGAACATCTGCTTTATTCCACGGTCTCAACATTTTAAATTGTTAAAAAACAGGAACCTTCAAAAAATGTTTCATTGTAAGATTCTAATTAATATTTTATGACTTACCTTCATTTACCGCGAATATAAACTATAGTCTTATAAAAGACTGTTGTTTAAAAATGGAAGAACTGTATACAAAAATACAAGACGAAGAATGATGTTAATCGACAGGAGCACAAGACAAAAATGAATATTTTCAAACTTACCCGCGAGATAAATAGAGCACAGGTAAAGTCTGTTCATAGATGTAAGAAAGAGACTAACTGATACGAATTAAGGAAAGACCAGGGCAATCTGTAAGAATGAAATATGGCAGAACAGGTCCCTGCTTTGCTTAGAATTTAATTATTTGGGGTTTTGTTAGGAAAGATACTAAACAATATTTATTTATTTATGTATGTATTTATGTTTAAATCTAAAATAAAATTACAAATTATTTTTATTACCTACTTAAATTATTCACATAATATATCAGTATGACTATCGCTATCATCGCCTGTTGTACTTATCATTTGTTCTGTATTATTTGCAATATACGATTGTTCCGCTTTTTCTATATGTTTAACAGAATTTGCCTAACTTTGTGGAGGGATGTTAAAAAAATCTGTTTCTATAAGTTTGAGGACCTTGAAGTTTACACGGGGAAAAACATTGTTACGACGAATGGCAGATTTCAGTTGGTTCAATAGGATTAAATATACAGTGGTAAGGTGGAAGCCTTAAAACTGTATGCCCTAGATTTTTTGCGTAATTATCACAGACGTATTCCTTTTGTAGGTTCATGCTTCCTATAACCTCAATTAATTGCTTTTTGGTATATTATACGCAAAAATAAATGTCGTTATTATACATGTAGTTTTGGATTGTTGGTTTTGTGTCATATGAGAAGGGGTTTTCGTCAACTGTCTACTGTGACAACTTGCATTGTCCATTACAATTACGCTATTAGGAGGAATGTTTGGAACTAGTTTGTTTTTAAACCAACTTTCAAATAAATCAGCGATGGTGTCTTCATGGTAATCCAGAGAAGGATCTTTAATATTTTTCGCAGACAGAGAAAGTCCATTTGGAACCCAACCATTTTTAAAGCCAGCATGCAAAATAGTTATTCTTTTACCTCTTTTTTTACATTTTACTAATTACTAATAAACTTAACTAAGTAGTATACAAAACCCAAGCATATTAAACACAGGTAGGTATAAAATTATTTTTTATTACTGACCACAATTTTACTTGAATTTAAATTCCGAAACTTTAGGTAATAATCTTGTTGCATTTTATGTTAATGACCACACTTAGATAATCCCATTCATAAGCAATTGGTCACTTTCTTATATCTATGAAGACACCATACCTGGTATCTATGAAGACACCCTTGCCTATTGAACTATCCAGTGAAATCAGCCTCGCAGGGTCAAAGCTGCAGGTACTTAAATACGTACTTACTGGAAGGATCATAGTCAAATAGTTCCGTAATATATACGAACATATTGCAATTGAGATTTACGTTTCAAATAAAAATTTCAAGTGTCTACAAATATTCGTTAAGGTCCATCTGGTCGTGCAATACCTTATGCTGAATTCCGGAAAATCGTCCCTTTTTCCGGACCCCACCAATCGGGTAGCGATCAGGGGATAAGCTTCCGCTGGTGTTCTCCAAGCTTCCGCCGACCATGGCGCGCTTTCGTAGAACCGCAATTCGCTGTCGGTTACGGCCGCGAATATGGAGTGCCACCGGTCCATATCTTCGGAGCTTTCGGAACTCGAGGTGTGGTTCTGGAACAGAAATTATGGTGGTAGGCATTATTTCATTGGCTACAAAAGTTATGAAAAAATAACAAATACAAAAATTGTTAATTATTTAAAATTACTGCGACAAAAACATACTTTTTTTAAACGGAACACATTTTTTTATTAATAATAATAGGAGGGTGAAGCGAAGTTTCCCGCCTGACCAAGAGGTGGCGCCACTAGGTCTACATTCGGCATTCTACAGAACACACAACATTATGGCTACAAGATACATTAATTCCCTTGAATTTTTACAAATAATAGCGATTTCCAATGATATTTTTTCAAATATTTGGCGAACGCTGTATGATAGATGAAACCTCAAAGCTATCTCTCGATACAGTTTACGATACTGTTCAAATAAAATTATCCCATCTTTAACGGTTTTTCAATTATCGCCAATAGTTTAGCCAGAAAAACGGAAATTTTTAGGATATTTTAGATTTTATATAGCCTCGGATCTCTCATTTCTCCTGGTATATGAATAGAGCAAATGGTTTTGGAAAAAATACTTGCTTTCTGAAACCATGCAGTACGTCGTAATAATCAATGATGTCATTAACGGCGAGAAATCGTGATTTTCATTTGGATTTTTTCAAATATCTCGAACAGTGTACCTATGTGATAGACGAAAACCGTAAATACAAAAATTGTAGCTCCTGATGCATTGTACAATACAATTTAAACCAATTAGCTATATTGTCTGGGAATTTTGATTTTGAATTTTAGATTTTTCTCTATAATTGAAAAAACCCTGTACATAATCGAAAAAATGCTTGAAATAAAAGTTGTAGTACCGAATCTTCCGCGTCTTTTGGTAAAAAAATTTTGCCGGTCAAATTTTGTTTTTTCTGCAAGAAAAAATAACAAAAACAAATATTTCAAAAATTAAAAAAAAAAACTAGGCAAGCCTTGATTGCTCTTAGTTTCTACGGTTTAGATGTGGGTGTGGACTTTCACTTCTCTACTAAATTTGAAGTGGATAGTGACAAATTTGAGACATCTATTACATTTTTGAATGTGGTACAGAATATCCCCAACACCCCGTACAACCCGAAACACAGTCTTGTCGTTATGAATTATCCTTATAAGGGGAACCCAATTTTCCGTTTTTTTGCAATTTGCCGGCGCACCCTGTACATTTTTACAAAATCATCAAGAATAAATGATTTTGGCCAGATTCTCGCGCGTCTTCTGGTTTAAGAATTTGTTCGATCGCGTATACTGTTTTTGAGAAATGATTTGTTCCTCGATACCCTGCAAATGCGGTTTTTAAATTTTTAAATATACTTCCCGACCCCCCAGCCATCCCAATTTCAATGGGTTCCGTTACGAGACTAAACTCTATATTTGTACCAATTTTGAAATCGATAGCTGCAAATCTCGGACACTTATCGTGTTTCATAGCGATGTACGAAAAAGACACGACTGTGGTAGCTGCGTTATCGATGACAAAACTGTTGTTGGAAATATTTTTGAAAAGATTGTTTTGAAAAAATTTTTCACAAAGTTCGGTACTAAAACCAGCGATTGAAGAAAACCGTGGACTTTCATTTTGTCACCGATGTTAGCCCACCATCAAATTTATTTCAAATCAAATCAAATGTCAAAAATATAAAAGGATTACAATAATATATTATCACAGTCAAAAAATTTCTTTTAAGCTATAAAAGGCATGACGAACTAAATTGATTTTTACCCGAAAATTATTTATATTTTGGCGGCAAAAATACATACCAATGACAAAAAAGCCTTCTCTCTGCGTCCTCTGCCAAAAGCAGCTGGTGGGAATTTTAAGGGCAAAAATAATGTTTTTTTTCCGTAAATCGTTTGGACCGTATGCCTGAAATAGCATTGCCACGATATGCTTCAAAATATCCAAGAACACCAATTTCTACGTCTTCACTTATAACAAAATGTGGATTTATTACTGAATTTTAACTTGTGACACTTTTCTTCATGTGCAAAAACCATTTTTGAATAAGTGATACAGTAACATTAATTTCAATAATTACCAACGAACTAAACTAACCAACCAAAACCTACCAAAACTAACAAGTGATATAACAACTAGTTTTCTACATGGCAAGGCTGTTGTTAAAAGAGACGAAAAAATTTTGAATTAAATAATAATTTAATTAATAAGAGGAAAATGGAGTTTTATTTCCCAACCACTCACAGCCATCTAGTTTAAAAGAGAAATGTGTTGGAGTAAAAAATATACAGGATGTTGCATTTAAAAAGAGTACAATTTCCTCATTTTTTCTAATCCCCACATTCAATTGTTTTTCTGTTTTCAATGTCGTAATCAGTGAAAAATATGCTACCATTTTGCTAATTTGATCCTTTACTCATAACGAAGTTACCAATGATGGTCGCCGGTCTCAACTCTCCAAATTAACCGCCAAAAACATTTCCCGGACTTTAATACGGAATTATTTGAGTCTAGGACGACCGAAACCACTTTGCGTTGCCGGGGCTGCAGTGGTAATTCATTAGACTGGTGACGTTATGAATATAAGCGCATTAATTTACGCCAGAACTGCCCCCTCACCCTTCTCTGGTCTAGGTAGGGAAGTTTTATTAGTGCCAGATACAACGACGGACGAGTCCACTACATATTAATTGGTGGGACTTCACTCGAGTAACATTAGGGTTCTGGCTAAGGTAATTTCAGTGTATTTCAAAAAGAAAGAAAGATTACAACAAAAATTCCTTCCGCCTTGCCATCGAAACTTAGTGTAGTGCTGATCTGAACAGTTCGATAGATGTTTTTCCTGTCCATTGCCATGGTGTAACCATGAGATTATGTTCCTGCACGGACCTCTTCTGTCCTCTAGTTTGTTGGAGTTGGAGTATTCGATATTTTTCATTTCTCATAATGTGCCAGAAGTTTTATTCATTGTTTGCAAGATGGTGTCGTTAGTTACGTAGTGTGTCCATGACACGTGCAATTGCTGTAAGGGTCCGGGCCTCCACACCGTAGAGCACTACAAAGTACACGTATCACTTGAGGAATCGCAGCCGTGTTTGGAGATTAAGGTTTAGATTATAGAGAATGAATGCTGAGTAACAATTTCTCGAGAATCAGTCATCCGAGACGGTGTTTATGCCTCTCATTTAGCTCCGCCCACCTCAAATAATATATAAGCAGGCATAAAGTAAGCACTGCAGAAGCCAACAGGATGATTGGCAAGTTTTGTAAAGAGTGGCCTATGGAAGTTTCTTTGAAAAATTTACGGTTCTGTTGATTAACCTTCTGTAATCTTTCTGCGCTGTTTGTTATTAGGACTGTATCATCCGCATGTCTGAGCCTCTCTCAGTTAACCAGTATTCCACGTTTGCATTCAGTGAAAACTTCATCGAAGAGATGCTCCAAGTAGACATTAAATAATGGAGGTCATGATGAAACGCATCGTTTTCATTACCAAAAATAAACCATTTTTTACCTTTTTTGTATTTACGTTTAGATGAGTCATTTAATAAGTTTCCGTAGCCCCAGATATTTTACTTCAGTTTTAAACTTTGTCAAACTCATCCATTGTTATAATACGTCCAAAAATATAGTGCGTTTATCGGTTTGGCGTTTTAAGTATTTTACAGTACCTTAACCGCAGGACCGTGGTAAAACCCATCCCAATAGCATTAAGTAAGGAGTGTTTATAGAAGTAGAAGCGTTTATTTTAACATCAGTTCTATCTAAATTGCAATATTGACTGTGATCCTTCCAGTAAGTACATATTTATGTACCTGATTTTCGAGCTTTGACCCTGCGAGGCTGTTTTCACTGGATAGTTCAAATGGTAAGTGTAAGTATCTGTCTCTCTATTTATCTTACAGGTAAGTTTGAAAATAATCATTTTTGTCTTGTGTGCCTGTGGATCTTCTTGACTTTTTGTGTCCTCTACGTAGTTCTTTTTAAAGATTGATTTAAAACAGATTAGGTAAGTACATGACCAAAATTCCGAAGTCAACTGTAAGAAAAATTGTTGCAAATGGGATAATCAAGAGAAAAGTGAGAGAAGATGCTGGTACTTCGCGTGTTTATGTGTTTTAACCCTAGAAGAACCACGTACTGACAGCCCTCCAAACAATTAATAAAGGTAAAGTGATAAAAATTTCGAGAGCAAAATAGGCCAATAGCAGTTTGACACTCACGTAGAAAAAGGATGGTGTCCAAAAACGGTTGGGTGTCAACGCGTTTGTCTGCCAAAAACGTCAAACATTTAAGTGTGTATTACCATGGAAACATGACCGCCGAAATATTTGCGGATTGGTTAGTTCCAAACACTTCTTCAAAAAAAAGAAGAAATGAAAAAATTTCGGCTCGAAAATGACGTATATTTTGAAAAAAGCTACACGAAAAAACAACTTTTTCAATTATTAACAATAGAACATTTTAATGAAGACTACAAAATCGTTTCGATAGCACAACAAAACGGGCATGAAATCTTGAGATACCGGGGTAATCATTGTATATTGATATGATTTGGTCTGAGTTGAAAGCGCATATAAACCTGCCCCAAAATAAAATAAATAGCTAAAATATCAGTACAAAGCTGGTCTAAAAGGTCTAGTGCTTGTAAAAGCACTATATTTCTGGTCGAAGTATATCTTTAGATGTTGTTTGCATGGCCTACCTTGTGGTGCCAATGGTATGGCCACTGACTTGTTGTTTTATATTTGCATTAATTACTTAGTTTTCTTGAAAAGAGTAAAGCACTTGGGGATCGTCAGCGTAAACAGAAGACAAAAGAGAGCCTTGGGATGCGCCCTATGTCGCACAAAGGATGCTAGATTTACTATTGTTGTACGCAACCGGTTCTGCCTTCTAACAAAGTGGCTTCATTCATTGAACCTATCTCGAAAATCAAAAAGGAACTTTTGCCAAAGCGTGTCAGTGTAGAAGCGCAGTTCCAAGTCAATCATCTGCGTAATTTTTTCTAGAACTTTGGATAGCGTAGGTAGATACCAATTGGTCTTAACTGTGATATTTCAGTGAAAGTGGAATCAGGTAGTAACGTTTCTTCTAGTGGAACTCTCCCACAACAGTGTTTTCGGATTCTGCAGGCTCCCCAAATTCTCCTTACCTTCGTTCCGCAATAACTTAATTGCCAGAACTTTGGAAATATCCCTCTGATGAAATAATTTTAATATGGTTAATTTTTCACTAAAATAGCTTTGCTTCTCTATATTACGTTCATATCCTACCTAAAAGATTGTCATAAGTATTTAAAGTTAAATAGAATTATCACCTCGATTTTGGGTTTCCTCAGAAGCCAGCCTATGTGCCTGAGGTCGGGTATAGCCCTCGAGGCTTCGTGAAGGGCCGCCGTTGTTAAAAGGGCCAGTGCGGAATGGAGGGTGTTGAACCAAGCTGCGGATTCTGCGGGATCAGCAGCGCGTAGCACGCAGCTATGGATGCCATCTGGCGAGTGAAGCTCCAACGTTCTACTTTCTGCAACAAAAACTAAATAAGTTCTGCAATCTTCACGAGATACAACACAAAGTTGTATTTTTTTTAAATGGAATGCCCCAATTATTTCGAGAAATAGTTTTCTAATAAAATTGTCAAAAAGTGTCAAAAATGGCGTCTTCATCAAGCTATAATAATGTTTGAAAACTTTGAAAAGTACGACTTGATAAAATGTTATATTGAAAGTAACGATAATCAACAGACGGCGTTAAATCTATATTTCCAGAGATATCCGGAAAGAAGCCAATCTAGCTCAAAAATATTTTTGAAGTTAAAACGGCACCTACAAGAATACGGATCGTTTATAAAACCACGGCCTACGACGTATAAAAGCCTAGCCAGATATAGAGAGTTGGAAGATCTAACGGTACTGGGAGAAATAGAAATTAACCCGAATACTTCCACCAGGGCTATGGAGAGAAACACTGGAATTCCAAGCAGCAATGCCGTGCGGGTGCTTATAAAACATAAGTTTAGGCCCTTTGACCCCGACGGGTACATCAATTGAGGCAAAGAGATTTTGCTCCAAGACGTGCACTTTGCAGGTGGTACCTAATTACCTAAAGAAAATCTCTATTTTGCCAGAAAAGTTATTTGGACAGATGCGGCAACGATTTCTAGTGATGCAATATTCAAATATAACTGCTATTACTGGAAACAGCAAAATTCCCATATTATGGTGGAACAAGCAAATCAGGGAACGTTCAGTTTTAAGGTATGGGTAGGCATCTAAAGGTCCTATATATTGGCCCCCCCAGGTTTCCAGACCTGACCCCTTGCGACTTCTTTTTGTGGGGGAGAATCAAAGACCTTGTATTTCGAATTGGAAGAGTCACTTCGAACTGCATTCAGGCAGTTACTGAGTGACTGAAACTGGTCAGTCAAGCTCTGAAGAAGCTAACGGGATGATTGGCGAAACGTCAGCAAGTTCGACTTAGCAAAAACAGACGCAGGAGGAATCCAGAAGTTTTGTAAAATGTAAAATTTTATCTACACATTTAAAATTGCAATTATCTTTCAAACTATTTAATAAAAATAGGTGTATGACACATCGTTCTATAGGAAATTTTATTAGAAAACGCATTTTTTAGAAAAATTGGGATTACCTCATTTAAAGAAACATAACTTTGTGTAATATCTTGGCAACTAATGGCTCTAAAACGAAACGGGTAAAATAGAGAGATTCCCGCTTAAAAAACTTAAATAATGTTTTTTCCCAAAACTCTATTCTTACAATTAAAAAGGTTATAGGGGGCCTTTAAAATCGCACGTTTTTGAGAATCACCCTGTAGCCCAACAGCGCCTTGACATATTACGATGCGGTTTTCAGTTTGTGCCTTCTGTCGAGCCCGTGACATGCATATTAGTTTTGCTATAGAGCTATAGAGGCCACTCGAATTTGGACCAGCCTGTACAGAAAGCTCGAAGAAAACATCAGCAAGGTTCAGTTGGGATTTAGAAGTGGAATCAGGACGCTAGAAGCCCTGTTTTCTATTCAGGTCCTGATACAGAGGACCAGGGACGTAAACTGATATGTCTACGCTTGTTTTATCGTCTTCAAGAAGGAGTTTGACAAGGTGCAACACGAAACCTACCAAGAATTTACAGTTAATCGGGGAGTACGCCAGGAATGCATACTGTCACCAATTTTGTTATTTTAAGACCAATGGAGAGACCATCAATAATTTAAGGTAAACAGTATAGCAGATAGTGCTGAGGGATTGCAGAGGCATGCGATATGTATGGTATGAGGCTCAACCCCAGCAAGACCAAAATTCTTATAGTTAGTAAAAACGATACATAAGTGACCAAGAGACCAAGAGAGATCAACCGCCAGAACCGCTTTTAACCGCCTCAGAAAACTCCTGTGTAACATGCAGCTGGATATCACTACAAGAACAGGTGAAGAAGAAGAAGAAGAATATTTGATTGGATGGGTTGAGTTCAATCATTTGATTTAACGAGACGTAGTTTCTCACTCATATCACCACAGACATCCGTTGTTGTTTCGATTCATCCGGAAAGTGTAGAGCAAGAGCTCTGTGTAATAAAAGGAAGAGAGTAACAAAAGGTTAGGTCCCAAATGCTTTGTGACTGATCAAAAACATCAAAGACTCAAACGTCTTCTAACCAACATTCCTGACAACCAAGTTCAAATGATGGACAATTCAAACAGAGCGAGCTATTAATGTATCCAAAGCAAAAACCTATTTCTGAACTGAACAAAATTGACCTACACGTCAAGGACTCGGTTTTTGAGAAACATTTAATGGTCAATACCGCTTGGGGATATTTTCACTACTAATCGAGATATAAGGCGTTTTTCAATTTCCGGCCCTTGTGAAAATTGACCATAATTTTTTATTTATAAAGTTTTGGATTCGGATTAAAATATTATAAAGACATTTTTTAAGGCAAATGCGGTGGCGGAATCTACAGTTGGCTATGGTCTTAAGAAATGCCCATTTTAGCTTTATAGATTTGTTGGTATCTGTGATGAAAAAAAGGAGGAAATATGGGGCATATTTTATTTATGTATTAGTGGGCCGTGCATGTAGCTGTCAATGTTTATTCTTTATTGAATTTTGTGTCCTATGTCCTGTTTCAAAAAGCCAAGGCAAAATCAAAATCACTTAAATGAACAATATAATTGGAGAATCAAATCCAGGTTCACTAGCTGGAGCAACAAATGCTGAAAACATTGAAGTATGGGTACCTAAAAAAAACGAACCTCATGGGAGGCCAGAAGAGCCTCAACTGAAACCTTTTGGAACCATTTGACTTCTAAGTTGTCAACCCCGTTTAATGAGCTCTGTCACAGCAAATCCATATTTTATACAGGGTGTACGGAAATAATGTTACCGATACAAAATAAAAGTGTTTCAGAAATCTGTCACTAGAGGGCCCCCATAACGTCTGTATTTTATTTGTTTAGACTGATATTGCAAAATAGAACAGATCGCCTTAAACAGAATCACAAATCCTCAAAAATACTTACTCTTGTCTTAAGTCGATAACACTTATGGATTTGTGATACTGTTTAAGCCAAGCTGTTCTATTTTGCGATATCAATCTGAATAAATAAAATACAGGGAAAATAAAAGAAATGTGGTTGGAGATACCAAAAAAAAAATGCGCTCCAGCTTAGAGTTAAAAACGTATTATTGAGTTTGAGCGACTCTGAAAGCTAGCAAACAAAAAACTCATTAAACAAAACCAAGGGAACGTTTCACGGGAGCTATACCGAGTCGGCAGTTTTTCCGACATTCGAAAACGGCCATAAACGAAATTAAATAGCGCTTTTAATAATGCGATTCTCAAAAGCGCTCAAGCTCAAGTATTTACCATACAAAAGAATTTATATGTCTCGTTTTTGCCCGTTGAAAATCTAATAAACTTTCGAGTAGTTCCCTTGAGGACAGGCCCGGCCTCGCGGCTAAGTTCAAAACACAAAATGTCTCAAAAAAAAATACTTCATACGTTTATACTACATAAATTACAACTTTTTATTACAGTATGTTAATTGGTATACCGTCTTATGTGTCGTTTAAGGGCTTTAGAGCTCAGAGCAAATAGGTCGAGATCCGAAAACGCTGTCTCTACCCTGTTATAAGTACGGGTACGTCTGATAATTGGAGAGTTAGAAGAGAATGGTGTCTAGATACAGTTTCGAAGAATGTAGGGATTGCAGCTGAAGTACATTTTTTCCAATAATAAAACAAAATTTGTTCTACGATTTTCCAAAAACTGTATACAATAGAAATGAAGGTTTTCACCATAACTAAAAAAATGTCTCTGACTATGAAATCTATAATTTATAGCATTTACAAATTTTCATTGTACACGTTGCATTAAAGATTTTTTTTATTACTAAACCCATTAGTCACACGTAAAATACATCCAAGGCTCTTTAGAGCCTTTTGAACAATGCTTTCTACGTGCATCTCAAAAAGAAACCCCGGATCCAATGTAATACCGAGGTCCTTTACAGAGTCCGGGTTCAGTTTGTTGTGACCTAGGTTGACATTCGCAATTGTGGTAATTTTTTTGTAAACAGAACTCAGTGATATTTGTCAGGGTTAACAAATAATAATCTTTATTGAGATATTTTAAATTATTACATAAGGTTACTTAATACACACTAATATAGTTACACATCTTAAGCGACGAGGTCTAGCTTAAGATCTTGATCTCAGCTATTCAACATTCCTTCTTCCTTAGACATATCAATTGTGTACCAGAGATACAACAGGGGTTAAAGAATTGAACCCTGTGTCACTCCCGAAGTAACGTTACCCAAACCTGAGAGAACGATATTAGTTCTAAAAATATTCTTCAAAATATGACAAATCTCTTTGCAACCAGACGTAGTCTGCCGCCGAGTGAACCAAGTTTGCGGTACGGCCCTGAACTGCTCATTCGTTGCCGTTAGAAGATAATGAAATAGTTGGGTGTTTTCGGCGTTGTATGATCCCGATCGCTTGAAATTTAATCTTCTTTTATTATCTGCTGCGAAGGTTTATGTACATAATAAATTTTACATGCTTCCACGATATTAAGAAAGTAACTACTCGCATAATTTCAATCTAATTAAAAACGGACGAGGAATATTGGTGATAAATAAACAGCTTTTTTAACGAAACAACGTTTGAAATTACGCCTCTATATAGATCGCGGTTCTCTAACGTAGTGTACCTTCCTAAACATTGTTCTATGGTATTCTATTTTAAGGTTAGGACTTTTTATGTAGTGTCGTATGATGTTCTCGTCTAAAGAAATAAATATTTATTTCGGAGTGTCTAGTGTAATTATTTAAAAGGATGTTAAATACATAACAGTCAATATCACAGTGTAATCAATAATCATATACTAAGAGTTCCATCCTCTACGAATGAATATGCGGAAAAGGCTGATGATAATAGTAGTACAATTCACTGCACGTTTCATTGTATAACAAACAAACATTTATTTCGTATATGACT